CACACACACACACACACTCAGAGTCGGTTTGAAGATTCTGTAATGTTATTGAATCATTTCAGGATCAGTTGATATGTCTGTTAGCACATGCTGTAGTGTGCAGTGATGCATCAAATGTCTTCATGACAGAAAATATTTGACCAGCTCTGCAGGGTTGAAACGCTGATGTTTAATGATCATGCACACAGTGTGGATAAACTACAACATGTTAACTGTGTGGATGCTGGATTCACGTCACATTTACCTCAGGAAAGTCATTCAATTGGACTAGAGCCACAATAAAAACTGCATTATGTGCACATTTAAATGTTTCTACTCATTTTGAGTGTTGATTATTAAATAAACTAAAAGTTTAGTTTGTTTCAAGAAAACAATCATTTCGGTGTATCACTAGTTGTGTTTTATGTCAGTGAGATGTGATAAATCTCGTCCCTGTGTGTGAATGGACGAATCATGAGTAACTCAAGCGACCCCTGATGTCACATGACTGATCTCACAGAAGGAAGTGCTCAAGCAATGACGACACAAGCAGCGTGAGCTGAAACACACACCACAACCCAGACCGTTACCATGGCAAAGAGAGGAAGAGGAGGAGCTTATAGAGGAAATCCTGAGCTCATTCTTCTGGAAACACTCAGAGAAAATGAGAGAAATAGAGGAAAGACAGAAGAAAGAAAGAAGGAGGTCGAGATTCAAGATGAGGGACAAACACGAGACAAACAGCACTGAACACAATTTATCTGAGATGAAACCGAACACTCACCTCTAGATTCACTCGTGCTTTCTTCAGCACATCTCGCGTCCGGGAAACTATAAGACAGACGTGTTTGTTAAAGCTCGGATGCTGATGACATCATTACACTAACAAACCAACCACATATAAGAGCAAAAGTCCGAACTCACTTTGACAAACTTCAAAATACTGAAACAAATGAAAGGTGATCAGTGGACTCGTCTGTGGTCCTGAGCTTCGGACTGGTTATTGTTCAAATACTGAGACGAGCTGCGCTCAGCATGTGACCTTTTTGTTTTTTGCTTTCGTTCCTCTCTACAAGCCCAAATGCAGTTGTTATTACAAAGGCATTAAGCCACATAAGAACTCGCGCTGTTCCCCAGGCGGTTTTTCTGTGATGAAGCGAAATGAAAAAAGCTAAGTATACTTTGGGCGTCATGTGTCGTGTTTGGGATGTTTAATTCACGCAGTGAAGACTATTATGCAGTTTTAGTTTACATTTGATTACTTTATTCGATGTCTGTACCAGGCTATTACTGGCCTGAATTCTGCTGTTAGGCTAAAAAGCACTGTTTGTTTCATGTCTGGACTCACGCTGGTTGACGATGAAGGTCTCCATGCTTTCTTTGGTTCGGTTGGAGCAGCGCAGACTCTGGATGGTTCCCTGAAGAACCTCCTCCTGTTCAGCGATCCTCAAACGCAGCAACTGGATCTCCTCACGCATCGACTGCTCCTGAGAGGAAACAGCACCACATTCAGCTCAGTTCATTCACATTAACACTGCATTTGATTTTTAGGGCTCAATAAATGCGGTTCGAACCCTCTGAATGAGATGAGCGGGACCGTCGCTGCTCGGAAGCGCCGCCCGCCAGAACATCTTGAGCAGAGAGACGGCTTCGTCCAGAATCTGACACAAGGTCTTGGTGTCGGAGAGCAGCGTCTTCACTGTGCTGTAGTCCAGAGCCTGTAAGAGAGAAACACATGACACCACTGCTGTTTGCACAAGCGCTCTGATCTGTCACGCGTCTGAGCATCACCTTCCCTCCGCTGATCTCCAGCAGGGCAGAGCTGAGACTCGACTGCAGCGCCGCCTCCATCCGCTGCACCAGCACCCGGCCCTCCATCACCTGCTGCTGCAGGGCGCTGTAGTCGTCCACGTGACCGATGGCGTGCCGCCCGTTACGGTTCGCGAACGAGCCGTCTGGAGCTTCTCCTTCCAGATCTGCATGAGGCTCCAGTGAGTCTGAAGAGAGAAGACGCATTTTAGTCCTTCTCATCAACCTAATTACTTGAACATTCCTCAAGCAGCACCACTAATAACTAGTTCCCAACCAGAAGTACTTCAGCAGGTTCCAGGAGGTCGTTGGTGCCAGAACTGTTAAACTTGTGCAAGACAAACAAGCTCAGGTTCTCAGTGAAGCGAGAAGCCAAGTCTAATTGTAGGTTTAGTTTATGTTTCACAGCAGAAAATTAATAATATAAACAATAATGACTTAAATTCCAATTCAAACTATTTGATAGGCCTGCATTTCTGCCACAATGAAAGAGTGATATTATGAGCATCCCAGCTGCAGCTGATGTTAGCACACACCGTTAGTGTTCACAGCGCTCTCCTCCATCTCTGAGTACGGCGAGTACAGGGGCCCCACGTCTCTGACAGGAGGAGAAGGAGACGGGTCTGTGGAGCACGGCAGAGCGGTTAGTACATCACAAAACCATCACATCCATTCACAAACAACAGCACTGGCAAACTGTAGGTAATGCTCCACATATTCAAGCAGATTCTCAGGGCACATGACAACACCCCACACACGAGTGTCATGTTTTCTACTTGCTAAATCACTAGGGTGACCATACGGGCCATTTTTACTGGACGTGTCCTTGCTAGGATTTCTATATTGCCTAAAATATACAGGTTTGGGCTGTTTGCACTTTGCAGATCGATCGTTGTATGACATTCACGAGAGCTATAGAGCGCAGAGCAGACGGCTCCTTATGCTTTCGAATCACTCTTGCGGTATTTTGGTGTCATACAACGATCGGTGCGCAGCGACACTTCAAGTCGAACGAACAAACAAACACACCTAACACGTGCATGTATTTGCATCGCTTTGATTGCTTTGATTCTCTGTAGATCTCACCTTCTCATGCGCCACAATTGGTCGATTATGTACAATACCTGCATGTTATTGGTCAAACTACTTTGGATGTTTCAGGCAATATAAAAATCCTGGTCATGATGTGTCCCAAATAAATGGCACATATGGCCACCCTATAAATCACGCATGCAGAACGGTCAATGTGAAATCAGCAAGTACAGACGTTACCGTGCAGAAGCTGTCGGCGGTAAAGCACGTCCCGCAGCGGACTGGCCGGGATGATGGGCGACGGGCGCTGATCGATGCAATGATCCAGCTGTTTCTGCAGCTGAGCTCGTAGAGCACTGTTCTCCTGTACACTGCGCTCCAGCTGGGCCCTTAGAGCCCGAACCTCCACCAGCAGCTCCCCGAGCTCCACCGCCGGGCAGCGCACGCCACACACCAACCCTACACAACAGAGGCTCAATGCACCGACTGGATGATAAAATCTATACGTGATTTGTTTGGAGTAACTGGAAACTGTCGTTTGCTGAGAGTCTAGTGCTCAATATTCAACATCACTCATGCACATATTCACACTTCACATGATAGATAATGCACCGCAGCAAATCACACTAGTGAGCAGCAGTGAAGGGGCTCTTTTACATATATCTGTTGCATTTCACAGGAAAAAAAAACTCGGACAGGTTTGCAGCAACATGAGAGTAAATAAACCACGGCAGAATCTTTTTATTTTGGATGTGTGTGGACTATTCCAGTATCGTTCACAGATGTTGTGGTGCGTCTGCGGCATTTCACCTGCAGCGGCGCTCTTTCTCACGCCACACACGCGGTCGTACAGCTGTAGTTCACTCTGTAGGGAGTGTAGCAGCTGTCTGCTCTCTGCTAACTGCTGCAGGAGTAAAGTCACCTCATGCTGCAGTCTGAACACAGATCACCAGTTACACAGCCTTCATTCATGTGTCACACTTATCAGTAAGAAACAGATCACAATGAGCAGAAACACACAGAGCTGCTCTTTCTAAATGTTCACATGGTTTCTCTGACCTGTTGTTGTGCTCCTGACTGTTTTGTCTGTCCTGTCGCAGCTGCTGGATTTGTTGGCTTTGTTCACAGTTGTGTGTCTGCAGCCTCCTCAACTCCTCCTTCCATTGTTCCGCCACTAACTCCGCCTGCTGCAGACGGACACGCCCAGAAAGCACCGCCTCCCGGAGCTGCTCTGCCTCTTCACTGCAGTCTGCATCACACAAATGTCAAATTATTAACTCTCCAGAGTCCTAGAGACAGTGATGCTCATTCTGCAAATTCACAAGACTGTAATATGATTCATGTGAATTAATGAATGTTTTGCTGAAATACATATCCGCTTTTAGCAGAGACATTAAATGCATGTGATCTGTAGCACTTATGTTTGGCAATGTTGTCCACAAATTATATCTACGTGGTCTGTAGATTGCTGGGCTGGGTAAAAGAAAAGCTAAACAGTGATGCTCTCCATCAGCTACAGTATTATAGGTTGTCTAGTCCAGTGTTTCCCAACCCTGTTCCTGGAGGCACAACAACAGTATGCATTTATCGCTTATCTGAGCCATTCATCTGTTTGTGTTTGTCTGTGTGTGTGTATACCTCTGCTGGCTTGTAACCTTGACTGTAGTGCCATATTTTCCTCCTTTAACGCTCTGACTTCATTGGTCAGTTGACTGACTGCATCATGACTCTGGATAAAGATGTTGGTTGGAGGCACTGTCAAACAAACACACATACACACACACACACACACACAGAGAGAGAGAAACACACAACAGCAATGAGCCTTTGGTTTATGTTTGAAATGGTTCTCACACCTTACACAAAGCACACATACTCAATTTAAACACTGCATAAAGCAAACTAGATAAAAAAAGTTTGTCAAGACAAACTTTAAGTTGGCTTGAGAAAGCCGGACCAACAAGTTGTAAAAGTTGTAAAAGTTTTAAAGGTCCCATATTTTACACCTTTCTGGAGTTTTATTTTAGGTTTTGATGTCCTTAAGAATATATATTTGCAGTATAAGTACCAAAAACCATCTCAATATATTTTTACAGCTCCTCTCAGGTCTGTCTAATTAATATTCATGAGCCTCTCTTCTGATTGGCCTGTTGTTTTCTGAGTGACGCAGCTAGATGTGGTCCACCTCATAGTAACAATCCTGTCAGATCGTCCATATGATCGTCCAGAGTTTAACGTTACTGGTCGGCCGATCTGGTTTCGTGGTTAAAGTTAACCTTTTGACGGTTTTCAGTCTGAAATTGTTTGAAGTTTAAAGTAGTTTTAAAAGCTTAAAGTTTGATAGATAGATAGATAGATAGATAGATGCTAAGGTCCTCAGAGTGGTTCCTAGGGTGTTTCTATGTGGTTGCTAGGGTACTCTGAGTGGTTGCTAGGCAGTTGCTAGGGCACCCGGGGTGGTTGCTAGGGTGTTGCTATGCTGTTGCTAGGGTACCCGGGGTGGTTGCTAGGGTGTTGCTATGGTACTCGGGTGGTTGCTAGGGCGTTGCTAGGATACCCAGGGTGGTTGCTAGGGTGTTGCTATGTGGTTGCTATGGTACTCAGGGTGGTTGCTAAGGTGTTGCTATGCTGTTGGTAGGGTATGCGGGGTGGTTGCTAAGGTATTGCTATGCTGTGGCTAGGGTACCCAGGGTGGTTGCTAGGGTGTTGCTATGCGGTTGCTAGGGTACCTGGGGTGGTTGCTAGGGTGTTGCTATGTTGTTGCTAGGGGTACCCGGGGTGGTTGCTAAGGTGTTGCTATGGATGGATGGATGGATGGATGGACAGACAGGGTCAGGTTATAGATAGATAGATAGATAGATAGATAGAGTCAGGTGATAGATAGATAGATAGATAGAGTCAGATTATATATATAGATAGATAGATAGATAGATAGACAGACAGACAGACAGACAGAGTCAGGTTATAGATAGATAGATAGATAGATAGATAGACAGACAGACAGACAGACAGACAGGCAGAGTCAGGTTATAGATAGATAGATAGATAGATAGATAGAGTCAGATGATAGAGAGAGATAGATAGATAGATAGATAGATAGATAGATAGAGTCAGGTTATAGATAGATAGATAGACAGACAGACAGACAGACAGAGTCAGGTTATAGATAGATAGATAGATAGATAGATAGTAGGTGTGTGAACCTACACTGGTCTCACGGTTCGGTTACAGTTATCATGTCATCGATTCGGTTCAATTCGATATCACGATGCATCACAATGCATTGACAATGCACTGCATCCTCAATTTTCAATTTTACTTCACATTTATACAATTTTGTCAATAAATACAAGCAGTCAGATATATGAACTGTACCTGACCTGGTTTCTTAAGTTAGTGGTATTAACCCCTGCTAGTGATGTGACATTTGAACCGAGGCATCGGAGCTTGTGTCGAGAATAAATGGGCGTGTCAGACGAAGCCTCGATTCGAAGCTTGTGTTGTGTTATTAATTGTCATAGAAATCACGTGACCAATGACAAATGAAGCTTCACTTTCTGTCCAGTCACATGCGCGATTCACTTTGCGTGTCGAAATGTTCGATCCCCCAGATCTTACATTACAAATAAGTTTTAATTCGGACTTATTCGGTTACGTTTTAGATACCCAGTCATATAAGTAATATGAAGAATAGAAATTATTTCAGAAAAATTCAATATTTGTCATATGCAATTCATATGAGTACATTATTCTTATATTACATCATATTGATATTCGTACTGGTATTAAATTGCACAGTTTAATGGGTAAATGAATATATCAGAA